TATCCTCCCGCAAAAGCCTTTTGGCTTTAGAGGCAATTGTCTTAGAACCTTATGAAATGTTTATGTGGCTGTCATGATTTCTTTCCAGTTCAGGTTGGAAGGAGTTTCTCATTAAAATCTTGTGCATTTTGCTGTGCCCCCACTTTAGTGGAAGTTGGTTTTCATTAGAAAATATATTGTGATACAAACAAGCTGAGGCAGTTGGGGCCATCGCATTACTTTGTGGGCAGGGATTATGGATTACTGACTATTTCAAATGTTTAAGCCTCCCACATGGAGAAAAATGAAGCCATTATTAAAAACAGTGGTTCTTGCATGGTGTTTAAATACTGTTGACCCACAGAGTTTACATGGCATTCAAGAAAGCTTTCCATGAGGCTGTGTAAGGCAGAAGTCAGTCTGTGGTGCTGAGCTGTTGCAGATCTTTAGGTGCCTACTGGAAATTCAGGGTTTGGTCTCTTCTACCTAGAGCAAAGAGAGAGAGGGAAAGCTAGGCCAGGCTGCACAGGGTGCGCTCTTCTGAACTCAGTGTCCAAGCATGTGGAGGCCTAATTCAGATCAGGACTATGGCACGTGGGGAAAAGGGAGCTTCAGTTTCCCCTGAACCATTTTGGATCTGAAATGGCCCTGGGGAAATATTAGTATACACAGGTTTCCCCAATGGAGCTACCAGCAAGTTCTTAGGGCTGTTTCAGACCAGAGAATGCTGCTAAAGAGTGGGGTGGATAATGTCTTCTCCTTGCTGCTGCAGTCTGTTGGGAATGGAATTCCCAGCATGGAACTCTCAGACCACTTCTGTTGACACTCCACACGTCCACTATGTAGACTGTCAGCCCTGACTTGAGTGTCTGAATCTCTTCTGCAGCCAGTGACTGGGGAGAAGCCAGGGAAAGAGAGATGGGTTAGTTATTACAACAATTTAGGCCTCAATACTAAAAGGCACCTATCAGGTAGACAGTATCAGCTATCCCTTTCTATAAAGCAGGAACTCTGAAACACACACACACACCCAAAACAGGAAGTATGGATCCTTATCATTTTTATTAAGAGATATTTGTATCCCACTTTTCTCCCTAATGAAGATTCAAAGCCGTTTACAACATCATGCCTCCCCCTCCAATTTTATTCATGCAGCAACAACCCTGTGAAAACAGGTTAGGTTGAAAGTTACTGGCCCAAGGTCACCCAGGGAACTTCCATGGCAGTGAGGATTGAACCCGGAATCTCCTAGATCTGAGTCGGATACTCTTACCACTGCATCATGCATGCTTGGTGACCCAGGAGATCTCTGATAAGGACACAAAAGGAGAGAAATTTTTAAAGGAGGAAGCAAAGACTTGAGTTCTTTCCCTTCTCCGCTCCCTTGGAGCTGGCAGTGGGGTTTATAGTGCAATGCCTTCCCATGCTCTTGCAGCATCACGGTTGGGCAATTGTTTGCTGGGGAACATGGCTCCCAGGCTGTTCTGTCTCTGCTTTAGTTCTCCACTGAAATGTCTTGCTGGGGGAGAGAAGGGGCCTGCTGGTGATTAATGGGCTCTGCCTCCTCTCCAACCTCTCGCCCTATAGGCAGCTTTGCTATGTTCTGGAGGAGTTATGGGCAGGTTGGTCTTGCAGAACCAGCCTCTAATTGCAGGGCTGCGAAGGGAGGACTGAGACCTCTGTAGGATGTGGTTTCAGGGCATCCTGCCGCAAGCACAACTGCATAGCTTGTGACCCAGTGGGTCAAATGCAGCCGTCCAGCCACATTTGGCAGCTTTCCAGGAGCTTGACAAACCTGTTTTCTGTTTTTTACCTAGCACTCGACAAATGGGATGGAGGTTAACGGGCACTTGGCAGGACCATAAGTGGGGCTGGAGCAGTTTCCTCAGTTCATTTCTACTCTACAAAATGGGCACCATCTGAGCTTTCCACCCCAGTGTCCTCCACGATGTTGCTAGGGCATTGGTGCTATATCTGTCAGATTGTGTAAGGCTGCTTTTGAGGTAGTCTTGGGGTAGCCCTGTCAACATTACGGTGATACCCTTTTTCACTTACTCAGAGTCCCTACAACCCCCCACACCTTCTGTCTTACATGTTCAGAGTTCTAGGTAGGTCAGGCAGTCACAGTACACCTGTCTTGCCTCTTTAAAATATATCGAAAGCCACAATCCTTTTACATACCAGGTCCCCTCTCTCACTCACAGAGACACTACCAGACAGGGTAGCTTTTAATAACCACCCCTCACTCAGACACTGCACGTGGCTACTAGGGCTGGGGACTGAAACACTGTTTCATTCACACACTGCCACTATTTATTTCGTATCTCAATATCTATTTATATATAGGTTGAGATCTTGACTTGTGTATATGTGCTTCTTTCCCCGAGACCATTAACATCCAGCCCGCATGGCTGAAAAAAGCAAGTTGACTTTTCTTTATGGTTTGAAAGTAACATAGGAGTAAATCAGGTAGGGGTTACAAAGGTAAAATGGGGGAGTTGGAGTGCTTGGTGTTGGAGGGAAAAATAGACATTGTGGGTATTTTAGAAACTTGGTGGGATGAGGAAAATCAGTGGGACACGGTGATTCCCGGTTATATATTATATCGGAAGGATAGGGGGGAAAGGGTTGGAGGTGGGGTGGCTCTGTATGTCAGAGAGGGTATAAAGTCTAGAAAGATTGAGAGGCTAAGTGAAGTGGATTCGCTTCTGGAAGTTCTATGGGTTGAAATAGGGGGGCCAAAAGAAAACTTAACACTGGGAGTTTGTTATCGCCCACCAGATCAAAAGATAGAGGAGGATTATAAAATGATGAATGCCTTAAAGATAGCAACTAGACAAAAACACTGTGTAATAATAGGTGATTTTAACTACCCACACATTGATTGGGTCAATATGTGTTCTAGCCGGGAAAAAGAGATTGAGTTTCTAGACACTCTAAATGACTGTGCTATGGAGCAGATGGTCACGGAACCTACCAGGGGAGAGGCGATCCTTGATTTAGTCCTAAGTAACACTCAAGACCTGGTGAGAGATGTAAAAGTGATTGCACCACTTGGAAACAGTGATCATAATGTTGTTGAGTTCATCATTTGTACAAATAGAGAATTGGCCAAAAAGACTC